CTTGCTAATCATGGTAACAACATGCTATTAACTTGTTAATCATGCTAGAATCATGCTAACAACATGCTAGTAAGTTGTTAATCATGCTAGCGACATGCTAGTCACTTGCTAATCATGCTAGAAACATGCTAGCGACATGCTAGTAACTTGATAATCATGCTAGCAACATGCTAGTTACTTGCTAATAATGCTAACAACATGCTAATCATGCTAGAAACATGCTAGCGACATGCTAGTAACTTGCTAATCATGCTATCAACATGCTAGTTACTTGCTAATCATGCTAACAACATGCTAGTAACATGCTAATCATACTAGAAACATGCTAGTCACTTGCTAATCATGCGAGCTACATGCTAGTAGCATGTTAATCATGCTATAAACATGCTAGCGTCATGCTAGTAACTTGTTAATCATGCTAGAAACATGCTAGTAACTTGCTAATCATGCTAACAACATGCTAATAATGCTAGAAACATCTTAGCGACATGCTAGTAACGTGCTAATCATGTTAGCGACATACTAGTAACTTGCTAATCATGCTAACAACATGCTAATCATGCTAGAAACATGTTATCAACATCCATCTAAATTTTCACTGCTTTAAACTTTCAGGCTTTCTCGAGCCAATCTTGACTAACTTTTTTATCTAGTTAGTAAATAAAGTCCCGCTCTAGTTTTTAACATTGAATATTCCATTACACTGGAAAATGCATAGAAGTAAAATGGGTTGTGAATGGCATTTCATGAGCCAGATTATTAGATTTTTTTTTACAGGTGGTGTTGATGTCTTAATGAAGATTTGCAGTATAACAAATAAAATAATCAAAAATGCTTTCATGCTGAAGGTTTATTGTTAGTTGATATTAGTCAAACACAGTCAGTGGCATTTTAGCAGAGAAAATATGCAACATATTCTGATTAATACAGTCAATTAATACATGTTTAATGCATGTTAATTAAGGCACCCAACCAAAACAACTGTCATCTAATTTAGATTTATGTGTAATTTCAGAAAATCTTTTACATTTTCTTCTTAAATTTGAATAGACCTTTGTTATTTCATAGCTTTACATTTGTCATACCTGCCAACATTCCCAATATTGTGGGGTTCTCCTGCTTTTTCCACTCTTCCTCTCACTCCCAATTTACAACTTATCCTGATAACTGCATGATTTCTTGCATCCACACTTTGCTAATCAGAATGTGTCAGACCCCCAGATAGGTTGAGGGTGACTGTGCATTCTGTATCGGTACTTAATGTTTGATTGTGTGTATTTTGTACAGTTAAATGAGTTTACAAATGAAAACTTTTTGCTTAAAATGCTTAAAACACTATATTATTAACAACTCAGTGTTGGAAGTTGTGGGTGTAAAGAAAAAAATTTACGCTAGCTTGTATTTCGATAATATTTGTGAAGAAAGCAAAGCAATTCAACAAAATGGTATTGGGGTCCCTTTTTCTCTTTTTTCTCTCTGGTTCCCTCGTGGCAATCCGTTATCCGCTACTGCACAAAGATTTCCAGCTGATTGGTGACCTGCCTCACTGTAGCGCAGTCCAGACACGCCATCAGCACCTTCTTCCCAGGGGACTGAGGGGTGATCGTGTCTGTATATTGCAGTGTGCCACCAGGTGCGATCTGACTGCAAATGGAAATGGATATAGTTGTATATACATAAAAAATTCTGTATGTCAGTACTTCACTTCAAAATTAACAGTTAAAAGCAAACTGATCATGGGCCGTAAGCACAAAACATTTTTCTTACCACTAAGAGCAGTAAAAGAGTTTCCTCTTCAAACCTTTTCACAAAGCTGCTGAGACCAACTTTTATTAAAGAATGAGGAGAAATCTTAAGCTAAGAGTAAAATAAAAATGTTGCCATATAAAATAAAAGATTTAAAATATGTTGCTATAGCCTATTCAAATAAAGAATTTAAAATAAAAATGTTGCCATACTCAAAAAAATAAGTTTTTAAAATGTAGGCTAATGTCACTAATGAAACAAATATATGTTCAGGTAATTGTCAGCCTCGTACATGTTTGCATCTCATAAAAAATAGCGGATATGCATATAAGCAGCGTTTTAATGAACAGACTAGAATAGTAAGACGTGCAAACATAAAAGAAAACCAAACTGGACTCAAGAACAGCTGTTAATTCTTGCCCAACTTGTACATGAAAAGAAGGACATAATCAAATTAAAGGGAAATTATCATGAAATGTTTCTAAAATCTTTACATTCCGAGTCAGATTGCCAGCAACAGCCATTTTAGGATTGTTTGTGATTTGGGCTTAGTGATTTAGGATTCCTCTTGACTACCCCTAACTTTTCACACATTTAGGAGCTGATTTTAGTGCTAAAACGCTTTGTAAAATGCTTACTTTTAGAGCAAAAATTTAGGAGTCTTAAAGTTAGGACTGACACGCCCATTATTTTTAAGAGTTTCTCCTAAATCGACAATTTAGGAGCTACTTTTAGCCTTAAGAAGTTTTTTGAATACGGCTCTTGATTTACACACCATGCTGGCAACAAAATAATATATAAAAATAATAAAACAATGTCTACAGAATATTACTACATCTACTAAGAAACAAAGTTACCAAACGCATTATCAAATCATACGCCAGTGCTGTTTTAGGGTGCTTTCACACTTGGTTCGCTTGCCTGGTCCGAACCCGAGTTTGATTGCTGCACCTTACCCCTGCCCCCGCTGGACTGCGTTCATATTATTTTATTTGGGTTCGAACCGCGGTTCGTTTGCGTCATCAAGCCAGCAGCTGTTTACCCCGTTGCTTAGTAACGACGGCGCAGGAGAAGGCGGCAAATGCATAACATTGCTCTCTGCACTTTTATATAATTACGTTTTTGAACCGTTCGTCTTGTTTACAAAGCTTCGGTAACGGCACTTGCGTCTGTGTTACGAATGTACTGCAAATGCTCTAAAGAACGCTGAAGGCGAACAGAAATTAGATATACAGCTCTCTGCTTGCAGCGCGTCAGTCACGCTCGTCAGGAAAGTGAGTGAAACACACAAACACACATTTTTATCAAATAATACGTCATTAATAGCGGCTCACTTCCGCTATTTGGTACGACTGCATTCACATCAGCAGCGAACCGTACCGGAGTTGACATGAACCGTACCCCAGACCACCCTTTTTAAGCGGACTCGGGTATGGTTCGCGGGTGCGCACCCGAGTTCGGAAGACAGCGTTCACATCATCCAAACGAACCGAACTCTCCAGGAAGAAGGTTGAAGGATGACAGGGAAGGGGATAGGGCATGTGTGGCCATCCATGCCCAGGTGTTTTTGGACCAAATGAAGCTTACCTTCTGGGTATTTGTAGGTAGAAGTGATGTCATCATAGGCGTTACTGTTCACCCTTTTGGTGACAAGGAGCTTTCCAACATATGTGGTGTCCACTTGGATGATCTTTGTGTTTCCGTACTTATCAGACTGATAGTAAATCACATCACTGTTCAGCTGGAGACAGGAGAAAGAGTTGCTGCTGAGATTTTGTAAACTAAAGAAGTGGTGAGTAAACATCAAAGAGAAATGACATGTTTCTTACCTCTGCAAAGACAAACCTTGCATCAAATGGATAGCTGAGCTCTCCATCCTTGATGGCATTGACAGACGTTGGGCCACATCGATAAAGACCTGAAAGAGAGAGGGAAGCCATTTTGAATGTGTTTCATTTAGTATAACAGAATGCAAATGCACTTTGAATTACCATCTAATAATGTCAAGGTACTGTACTATTGTACCACCAGTACAATTTTATAAAAGATCCACATTTATAGGTTACACTGTGTTTCAAATGTATCAGGTCAGAGCAGATGCCAATGGAACAGAGATGCCAAAACCCCAATCCTCAGACATCCCTCAAATCTCCAAGCAGATGGTGGGTCTAAATGTAGGCCTTTAAAAGTCTAGCATACTATTTCAAGGTCTTGGTGCTTTCCATGAACAGGGTACAAAATAGGGCTTGAATGAAAGCCAGATTTTTGTTCATTTTTAAAGTATCAGTTGAAGGAGATTCTTAAGTCTGAAAAATATAAATATTTGCTGTTTGGTCACATTTTTGATCTCAGTTACCCCAATTTGTGACAGACCTAAATCCAGTAGGTAGTTTTCTACCATAAAAATAAATAAAATTGAAAAACGATACTACATTTTTATATCTCACAATTATGAATTTATACCACACAATTGCGAGATACAAACTCTTTTAGATATAGAAACCTTTTCCCTAATTGGACTTTATAACTCACAATTGTGAGTTTATATCTCACAGCTCTGAGAAAAGGAGTCAGAATTGCGAGAAAAAAAGTCAGAATTGTGAGATATAAACTCGCAATTGCAAGAAAAAAAGAGAATTCTGACAATAATTTTGCAATTCTTTTTCTCGCAACTGCAAGTTTACAGTATATCTCACAGCTCGGAGAAAAGAAGTCAGAATTGCAAGAGAAAAAAAAAAGCCAGGACTGCGAAATATAAACTCACAATTGCGAGAGAGAGAAGCAAGTCAGAATTGTGAGAAAAAAGTCAGAATTGCGAGATATAAACTCGCAATTGCAAGAAAAAAGTAAGAATTGCCAGTTTATATCCTACAATTCTGACTGTAGTTTGCAATTGCAAGTTTATATCTCACAATTCTGAAATGTCAGAAAAGTCAGAATTTCAAGCTAAAGCGTCACAATTACCTTTTTTTATTTTTTATTCAGTGATGGAAATGGCTTCCATAATTCATAGATAGTGTCTCCTAACCTTACCAGTTAACTTTAGAGCAGCGGTTCTTAATCTTGGTCCTCGCGACCCCCCGCTCTGCACATTTTGTATGATTCTCCTACCGCTTCAGGGGTTTGTTCCATTCGAACATAAGTGCCCTGCGAAGTGGACATCGCAGGATATTCCACCATGATTCCAGTTCGAAAGAAGCGTATATATTCCATTCAAAGGGCATTCAAGTGCGTGAGACGTAACTTCTATGCAAATCTCATGATTACGGTTAAATAACCCTTCACACTTCTGGAGCAAGTTTTGTCTGTGTGTGGAGACGCTGCAGGCAGTGGTGTTGCGCAAATCTGTGTTCTTAAGTGAAGTAAACTTCAGCTGATTTCCCGTGTGCAGGGAGTAGAGAGCAGTGAACACTATGTAGGGAGCATGTCAATTGGAACACAGTTCATTCATGGAGTTCTCTTCTAACGAGCTGGTTATCGGAATCAGGTGTGTTAAACAAGAGAGACATGCAAAATATGCAGAGCGGGGGGTCGCGAGGACCAGGATTAAGAACTGCTGCTTTAGAGGAAAGCCAGTGTATATAGAAGATGTGGAGGATCATACCATCACTGGTCTCCTGAGGGGTGCTGTCGACCACCTGCCAGCCAGAGTATTTTTCAGGCAGATCAGGCCTCCTCATGTACACCTCATTCCAGCTGTGGTAGTTCCTGTGAGACACAGTGTTATTGTCACTAAACAGCATTTAACCATCATTACCTATCAGGCTGTGTATGCTTTGTGTATCTCACCAGATTGAATCTCTCGTTCGGCTTCTGCTCACTCCCCCATTTTCGTCCAGAATAATGTCGGTCTTCAGGTTGCCCGTGTTGTCGTGAGCAGAGGCGAAATTGGTGACGACTCGTGCGGGGATCCCAAGACAGCGCAAAACTAGGTGGGATCATCACAGTGCCATGGTTATGCCACAGTCTTTCATGGTTATGCCACAGTCTTTTTAGCAAGGCTCTAAATAACCTGAATTTCAGAACCAATAATGAACGTGCTGTCGCCACACTCACAAGTGTTCAGCACACCGGCAAACACCCAGCACTGAGCAAAGCACACAGGCAAACCACCGTCTTTGGCATATTTGAGAAGGATTTCAGGACTTCCTGTCCAGGCAGTGGGTGCTGTGCCAATGGAGTAATCACTACTCCAGTTGCCAACCAGGACACCATTGTCGTCTTGGGAGTTCATCTGAAAATATACCACCAAAAAAGCCTACATATATGCTATGTAAATTCATATAAGACCAGCTGCTTAGGAAGAATGTCGGAAAGTTAAAAAAAGCCCATCCATCTATCCATCTATCTATCTATCTATTGTATTCGGTGAGGACTTATAGACCACAATACCAGCATGATCTTGCATTATTTCCTTATCACTTCTCGCGTGTGTTTGGTTGTGAAACGTAGTTTGTGGACCAGACAGAGTTGTCGGTGATTCTACCTATTGTAAAGTCATGCAGTGTGTAACCTCCTGTCGCCGATCCATCGTGCAATTTGAACGCAGCAGCAACTGAATGCTAGCCCAGATAGTCGTACAGTGTGAAAACAACGGTGATCCGATGACTTTGAAAATCATGCAGTGTGAACTCGGCGTTAGGTGTTGAGGACCAGTGCATCTGTTGAGTACTGTTAAAATCAGATACTCTAAGACTTTTACACAAGTCGTATTGGAATTGGTGACTTGTAACTTGTAATTGAGTCACTGTCACCGTAAGGTATCTGTACTTTTACTCAAGTATGGTTTTCGGGTACTCTTTAGCGATCTACTTCATCTATGTTTTGATCATCGATCTGGATCCGATCTGGACGTAGTCTTTGAGAAAAATTTGATTTTCTCAGTTTTTTTTTTTTTATTAAACTTGCCCAGGAATGCATGAAGCTAGAATAAAACTATTTGTTTAGTTTTTGTTTAAACGCAATGGCTACGTTCTTTCTTTTGACATATTGCATGTTCAGATATTCATACAACAAAGTATTAAATCATACCAGGGCTGATCCCTGCCGAATTAATTCAATGGCATTTCCACGGTACAGCAGAGGTACTTTCCCAGCATCCAGAACCAAAAGACAGGCATCCAGAACCCCCTCTTCAAACTACAGGAAACCATATAAAATGTTAAATGAAGGTATCAGGTTGAATAGTCCACCATAAGAGTTAGAACATTCGTTTTCTTCGTGAAGAAACATCTCCAGAAAACTGCCGACCTGGCCGTAGTTCCATGAACGGGAGGATATGTTGTTGAATTCTCCATTGTAGATGATCCCCACATCATTCAACACATACTCCTGTCTGTCGGTATCTCTGGACACATACACCAGATCCGCTGTGTGCCAACATATATGAGATACATGCATTATGATACATGCATAAAATCTTAGGGTTTGTTGCCATCTATACAAGTGACGTCGGTACGCAAAACAAAGTGATATACTTGTACTCACCAGGGTCCCAAGGATTGAACAGCACATAGAAATCAGTGTCAGGGTTCCTTGGAGTGCGCTGTTTTCCCAAATCAGTTATTACTGTTACAAAGGTGCGGAAGCGACCAATGATGCAGCTGGCGCCAGGTGTTATGCCCACTGTCACACCATTGCCTTGCGTGCCAATCACGCGACCATTCCAGCGCCCATCACGTTTCTCTTTTCCGATGAACACAGTGATGTAGGTGCCCCTGTTTTCATCAGGTGAATTGCCTGTGAGGACAGATATATGCCAGGTTTGAAGGACAGTTCACCCAATTGAAAATTCTGTCATCATTTTATGCCATTGTTACAATGTGGAACAGAAAATATTATATTTTTTAAGAACGTCTAAAGCAGCTGAAGAATTTTTTTGCTCATACAGTTATAGCCAGTGGCGTCCAAAGCAACATTGAAAATATCTATCAAAATATGCTGACTTTCTCAGACCACATTGCTAAAACTGCCCGGTCCTGCAGATTTGCTATATTCAACATCCGAAAGATCAGGCCCTTTCTTTCAGAACATGCTTCACAACTCCTTGTTCAAGCTCTTGTTCTGTCCAGGCTGAACTATTGCAATGCTCTCTTGGCAGGTCTTCCAGCCACTTCTATCATACACTCAAAAAAATGCTGGGCTGTTTCAACCCAACTCTGGGTCAAATATGGACTAACCCAAATTCTGGGTTAAAAATGTAAAGTAAAAATTTAACCAGTCCATAGTCCACATTTAGTCCATATTTGACCCAGAGTTGGGTTGAAACAACCCAGCATTTTTTAGAGTGTACCTTTACAATTAATACAGAATGCGGCAGCAAGATTAATTTTTAATGAGCCGAAAAGAACGGATGCCACACCTCTGTGCACTGGCTACCAATAGCTGCTCGCATAAAATTCAAGGCATTAATGTTTGCCTACAAAATCACCACTGGCTCTGCACCCCTTTACCTTAATTCATTACTTCAGATTTATGTGCCTCTAGAAGCTTGCGTTTTAGACTTGCACTCTATTAATTTACTAACTGCTTGTTTTCTTTATAAAAAAAACTAACTAACACTAGCTTCTCTATTCTTTTTGTATTCTATCTATTTGTTTTCTTTTTATTTATTATGCAATTAACAAAAAGCAAAAAAGGCCTCTAACACTAGCTTGCTCTATTCTTTTTCTATTCTATCTGTTTTCTTTTTTATTTATTATATAATAAAAAAAAAACTTGCTATGTGTACTGCGTTAAGCTACAGTAACTGAGACTTGTTATAGCACTTGCATATCATTACTCTTTTGTTGATTTTGATTGCTTTCATTGTTCTCATTTGTAAGTCGCTTTGGATAAAAGCATCTGCTAAATGACTAAATGTAAATGTAAATGTAAAATATATGCTTAGATATGTTTGGGCGAGCTGCCTTGGGTCACTTCAAAATGAAAAAAAGAAAAATGGTGTTCTTGGGATCGGCCCCAGTAACAAGGACCCAAACCTCAAGAGGAAATCTTCCCACAGGACAGCAGCTGAGCCAGCAATGATGAACACAAAGCTGACATCGAGACTGAATTAAATGGTGCTGCGACAGCCGAGGGAACATCACTTCAATTATTCAGCTGACCTAACTGCAGAATGGCACTACGCTCTGGTTTGTCTCTAATGAAGACGGGCAGATATTTTCTCACTTTCGTTGTTTGTCTGAGAGTTATTTCCAGTCCATTAATAGCTCTGTTGTCGGTCAGTTCATGCTCCCCTTGAGCATATAAAAAAAAAAATCTAAGATGTAATTCCATGTAATTCTATCTCTTTATGTCTGTTCATCCAGGCCTATGCATTGCTTGTTGTAATTATTTTCCTCCTCCTCTGCTGTGTGGGCTCCTCCACAGCTTTTGTCAGGTTCAGTACTAACTTGACAACTTTATTGGTCACCATACTCTCTTTTCTCAACTCTTTCCCTGCCATTGATGAAACTTTCCAGCTTTCCATGTCTTCTGTTATACGGAAGGAGGTGTTATTACACATCTTCTGATAGAGTACTGAATGTCTGGATCCAAACACGGCGAAGAAGAAGCAGAAATAAGTGATCGCATATGTAAAATAATGCGACCATCAAACATTAAACAGCATATAAATCAAAACTGCCTGATGCTACTGAATGAAATGATGAGTCAGGAAGTGATTTAGGACTGTGAAGCTTTGGGGGTGTTGATGGTTTTCTGAATCCGATCCAGAAGTAGTCTTTGACAAAAGCGTCATTTTGTTCAAAATGTTACTTTTTTTTAAATAAAACTTGTCCACATTCAAGTGGCAACTTAAAAAAACTGTCAGAGAAAGAGTTAAAGGGATAGGACACCCAAAATGTCATCATTTACAGTCTTTATTTAGTAACCTGTATGACGTACTTTCTTCTTTTAAAAGATAATTTAGATGTTTCAGTGTTTTTTGTCCATACAACGAAAGTCAATGTTCACCAAAACTGTTTGGTTACCAGAATTCTTTAAAATGTTATGTTCTGCAGAAGAAAGAAAAAAAAAAGAAAAAAAGAAATTCATACAGGTTTGGAGCAACATGAGGGTGACTAAATGATGACAGATTTTTCTTTTTGGGGTTAACTATCCCTTCAAGGATAAGCACAAGCGCTCTCTGCCATCCCTCCACCCTACCATAGTACCATACTAGTGTTTCTCCAGTGCTTTAGACATCGGGATTTCTGCATTTTGGATGCATAAGTTAGATTACCAGCCTTGACAACCAAGCAAACATGTGACTGACCTTCAACAATGAACAACATTAAATGCTGAACAGTTGTTAAAAAGTTAAGAAAATACTTCTAAATCAGTGTTGAAATTTTTACGTTGTAAAAGTAACAAGATTGTGATATGATATGATTGTGATATTGTGATATGAAGCCTAAGATGCTATCTGGGTAAGCAGCTTACTAAACTTACTAAACTCAACGTGGAGAAAATCTTAAAGGGGTCATATGATGCGATTTCAAGTTTTCTCTCCTAAAACGCCTCGTTTAAACACGCCCCCACATGGGAAGATTTGCATAACGCCGCCCAAATGTTCACGCAAAGAAAGAAGGTGTAACTTTATTGTTGCTGCCACCGCCACCGCCATGTTGTGAAGACTCTGTGTGTTTCGTTGCGAAAGCAAAACTACTTTGTTTGGTCTTCCAAAAGAGGACACGACTAGAAATCAGTGGTTAAGTTGTATTTACAACACTGTTCCAGAACAGTTCAACCCAAATATTCAGATGTGTGCATCACATTTTATGGAGGACTGTTTCCTGATCCTGGTAGAGTAGACTACAATGCCGGTTGTTCTGACTCACAGACTGTAAGTACGTTTTTTTATATTTAAAGGATTTGCCACTGATGATTCAAACGCGAATTTTGAGCAGTGTAGAGTAACGTTAGTGCTTGTTTGTCATTTCTGATCACAAATGCAGACATGGTTTTATGTTTACGCGGCGCGATACGCAACGCATAAAAAGACAGCATACAGTAAGTCATTATAATCCGTAATTATGTCCCCACTGGATGCAACAAATGCCTCGTTTATAATGTGTTTTATTGTTTTGGTCTCTTTGCTCCGGCCTGACAGGGCATCACAATATGGTAAGCGGCGTAACATTTCCGTCACACGCTTGAGGTATTCAGCCAATGACAACGCACTGGATAGCTGGCCAATCAGAGCACACCTCGCTTTTCAGACCGATGAGCTTTGTAAAAATCTACGCGTTTCAGAAAGGCGGGGCATAGAGGAGAAACAATAATGTACAGTATGTGGAAAATAATGTGTTTTTTTAACCTTAAACCACATAAACACATTTCATTACACCAAATACACAAAATAATGTTCTTTTTAGCAACATCATTTAGCAACACCCCTTTAAACGTTAAATGCTAAATGGTTGCGAAAATGTTAACAAAATACTTATAAATGAACGTCAAAATGTTCATTTTGTAAAATAAGATGTTGAAACAACATCAAACATTAATTCAATTTTGGAGTCTGGACAAACCAGTAAGAGTCACAAGTGTGGAACACAAGAGAAATTTGCAACAAACTCTGTCAATGTCAAATCATAATTATTTTACATTTTGGAAAATTGGTGACTAATTTGTATGAATTGGTATGTTTTTGAAAGATCTACTAATGCCCTATGGACAGTTCAGGTTAAGCTTGCTTTTATTTAATTTCATTATTTATTTATTTCCAATTCATACCGTTCCATACAAATCACATTGTGCCAATTCATACGATATTGCCACCTAGTAACAAAGTTAAATTTTCTTAAAATTGGATGGAAAGAAATTGGGGTTTTCCCCTTTACCTAAATGCACTACTTTTAGACATATCTGTCCTCCAGAAGCTTGCATTCTGCAGGTGAATGGCACATTATGCTATCCCAAAAAGGCACAAAATCACTTTCACAGACTTTTACCTAAACTGTTCCCTGCTGGTGGAATGACCTGCCCAACTCAATCCAAGCAGCTGAGTCTTTAGGCATATTCAAGAAACAGCTAATCTCTTCCTTCTACACTTGGCCCTCTAACACTTGCACTCTCTATTGTATTTTTATTCTATCTACTTGTTGTTGTTTTTTAAATTATTTTAAAAACTTGACCCTCTAACAATAGCAATCTCTATTCTATTTCTATTCTATCTTCTTGTTTTCTTTTCATTTATTAAAAAATAACATGACCCCCTAACACTAACTCTGTATATTCAATTTCTATTCTATCTGCTTGTTTTCTTTTAATTTATTATAAAAAATAATAACTTGACCCCCTAACACTAGCTCTATCTATTCGTTTTATAACCAATAACCAAGGTCAACAAAACATACATGACAGCCAACATGATTTGTGTGAGTGAGTGAGTGTGAGTGTGAGTGTAATAATAATAATAATAATAAATAAAAATATTAATAATAAAAAATACATAATAATAATAATAATGCACTCAATTAATCAGAAATGAGGGGAAAGTTGGAGGATGTGGAAGATGACAAATAGCAAAATAATAGTATTAATTAGTAAGTAGTAATAGTAGCAATAATAACAATATTAACAATAACCTCATTCATCAGGAACCGGGGGGAGGTTGGAGGATCAGGAAGAAGACAAATAGTAATAATAATAATAATAATAATGGTAGTAGTAATAATAATGGCACCAACAACAACAACAATAATAATAATAATAATAATAGCAATAAAGCTATAAAGAGTGAGATATTGTAAGGCTGCCTCTGGGCCCTCCATGAGCACAGCATAAGTTGGGCCCCCGCCCATGTTACCCTACGACGGGCCATCAAGGAGAGATGTAGTGGGGCACAGGGCCCAAAGTCCCACCCCTGGCCGCCACATACATGCCATGCTTACCCTATATATATATTTTTTAATCTATTCTATTTCTATTCTATCTACTTGTTTTCTTTTTTATTTATTATAAAAAAAAATTGACCCTCTAACACTGGCAATCTCTATTGTATTTCTATTCTATCTACTTGTTTTCTTTTTATTTATTACAAAAAACTTGAGCCTCTATCACTAGCTCTATTTATTCTATTTATATTCTATCTACTTGTTTTCTTTTTTATTTATTGTAAAACACTTGACCCTCTAACACTTGCTGTCTATTGTATTTCTATTCTATTTACTTTTTTTAATAAAAACTTGACCCTCTAACACTAGCAATCTCTATTCTATCTCTATTCTATCTACTTGTTTTCTTTTTATTCATTATAAAAAACTTGACCCTTTAACACTTGCATTTTCTATTCTATTTCAATTCTCACTACTTGTTTTCTTTATTTTTATTATGAAAAATAATAACCTGACCCCTTAACCCCAGAACTCTCTATTCTATTTCTATTCTATATACTTGTTTTCTTTTTATTTATTATACAAACCTTAGCCCTCTAAAACGTGCATTCTCTATTGTATTTCTATTCTATCTAATTGTTTTCTTTTCATTTATTATAAAAATATTGACCCTCTAACACTAGCATTCTCTATTCTATTTCTATTCTATCTACTTGTTTTCTTTTTATTTATTATTCAAAAAAATAATAGTAACTTGACCCTCTAACACTAGCTCTATCTATTCTATTTCTTTTCTATTTTCTTTTTGTTCTTTTTATTTATTAATTATTAAAAAGAAAACTGCTACGTGTACTGCGTTAGACTATCCAGGACTTGTCACAACACTTATATATTGTTGCTCTTTTGTTGCTTTGATTGTTTTGATTGTTATCATTTGTAAGTCACTTTGGATAAATGTAATGTAAATGTAAATTAGATGTTTTGAAAGATCTGCTCACCAATCATGAACTCTATCTGCACATTGTCCTGCTGGTTATTGAAGGGTCGGTCAAACCTGATGATGAGGATGAATTCTTTATTCCTGCGCACAATGAGGCTGGTGTTCTTGTAACTGCTGGTGTTGTGCGCTTTCTTGTTGTCCATCGCACGCATATCAACACTCAGTACTGAGAGAGCTCGTGTTGCTGGAAAAAAAAGAGAAAAAAACTTACTTGATCATTTGAATACAAACATTATTACAGCTGAGTCAGGTCTAAGGGTTTCAGAACAATTAAAAGTACATATTAAAACATTGAGTGGTATTTAAAGGCTTCCTTATCGTCTAATCATGCTAATGATAATGGATGAGCATCTACAACCTTTTAAGTTTGGCAGTGGTTATTAGTGGTAAGACTTGAGCTAATAGCACTATATATACAATACAATGCAAATATTAGATATTGTCCATTTTTAATAAGACTGAACTATTTCGATTTGAAAAATTTACAGAATTGGAGGAAATAATGTATATTTATAATCAGGGTGGCCATATATAACACCTAAAAGGAGGACACTTTGCAGGATACAGTGAATCCAGGGTAAAAAAAAAATAAATTTTTTTTTTTTTTTTACCTATGTGAAGGCAACTTCTGAAACCCTTTTACTGTAAGTCTATGTGTCCGCTTTCATTTAAATGTTTAAATGTATTCAATAAATGCAATTAGAATACAAAGACATTATAGTGCTGCTACCAATCAAATGAAATCAGACAAAATCCATCTTTGCATTATAGAGGTGGCTCAAAATATGCATCTGAACTGGCATTACACATGCACAGTTTACAGCTGCATAAACAATGCTATAAGATTAATGTTTTAGAAACAAAATATACAGAAGATAGAAATATAGAAATGTTGGAAAAAATGAAATTATACTTTAAGCCACAGTAGGTGGGTACAAGTCACTGTCTTATTGAATGACTCATTGATGGATTGATTGATTCATTTGTTCAATTGATTTAATGGCTGATTCAATCAGAAACAAAGCAAGTGACTCTTCCTTATGAATGGGTCACTGAATCAATGAGGCGATTCATAAAAAAAAAACGCTGAATCATTCAAGAACGAAACAACACTGTGTTGACCGGAGACTAACGTCCTGCTGTAACTCTGTTTGGAGCAAAAACGGTCGATACTGACAATATTGTGTCTAAAATGTTCATCACTTAATATTAGCTTAAACTTAGCCTATGTTATAATCGATTCATCCGTCCCTCGGGTCATTTTGACCCGAAAAATATATTTTTTAAAAATTCTAAAAATCGTGTGTTGATCGTACCGGTCCAAGATTTCTTTACTTTTGTCACACTTGCACCGGGAATACACACAAAAACTATTTGAGTGGATTCGAGGAGTTTAAATGGGTGCAATAAAAAAAGTAACAAAAGTGTCATTTTGGCCTGCATAGGAATGAATGGAATTTACGAGAAAAAGTAAAGATTTATACCCAAATAAAGGGCTGAGACTACAGAATATCCCCAATGCAGAAAAAACTCACATACACACACACACATGCACAAACACACACATGGTACACACACTCTCATAGAACACATTGTAATATTTTTCATGTTTCTGCTGAGATATGACTGTCATTTTTCAAAAAAAAATTTTTGGACTTAATACAGTTAGATTTGAATGATGGGGTGGAGACCAATGATTTTATATCATATTTATATTTTAAAAAATATATTATATATTTATGTAATTGTATGAATATACATGTTTTGGTTATAATTCAGTTAGAATTTTTTTTTTTTTTTTTTACAAAATATGGATTTTGTAATGTTTGAATATATATTTTAATCCATAAACAACCAAATTGAAGTCTTAAGATTATCTCATTTCTCATGTTTCACTTGTTTTGCTCAGTTAAAAATCTCCATAGGGTTCTATAGGCCCCTCTAGTGGCTGTAACCATAAAATGCAATTTTATGTAATTTTTCCCCACCAGATGGCATCAGAGACACTCAGTGACTCAATTCCAAGGCCATCGGTTGGTTTTTGATAAAACAGGACTGAAATTGTGTCTTTCTTTGTTTTTGTTTTTTGGTGATATATTTTATATTTCTTATATTTTCTTAAATATATCCAGAATAAAAGGTAAATATAATAAAAATCACCAAAAAAATAATAGAAAAACCTACATAAAAAATTAGGGGAAAAAAATATAAAAATGGACCACTATAAGCTTTCTGGACCAAAAATAAAATTAGTGTCATTTTTGGCCTTCGGGTCATTTTGACCCGCGAGGGACACTTTTGTTATAGGTTCGGGAGGGAAGGATGAGGGTTTTAGTAATACACCATTGGATAAAGTATAAAAGAGTGAGGATCTAAAAAGGAGAACAAGTGAGCATCCTGCTCTAGTTTGCGCCGGTAGACGGACTGTCCGACCTAAAACCAGACAGATGGCCACCCTATTCATAATAGCCATTTCATTAGACAGAAAAAGGCATATGATGCCTAGGATGCCATCTGTATAGGCAGCTCACTAGATTTTAGAACAGCGCAATATTGTCTTCTTAGCTAGGTTTGCCATTTTAAGGGTGTGGTGTCAAAACTGTGGGGTGATTTAAGGAAAAAATTACACTTTTTTTCATTTTCAAACGCTTGGTTCACAAATTCCAGTTGAATATGAATGAATGGAACTTTACTTGGTGCTCTCGGTGTCACGTCTTCAAAAGCCTCATACTCAGGTGGGTTAGACTCCTCTGTGTTTGAGCTGGCAAAGGTCAAACGGCCATGCAGGGGTCCCCAGGGCTGAGTGGGTTGGAACATGATGTACACAAGATGTCTTGACGTTTGCCTGGAGGACAGATCGTGCTAATGTTAGACTTTTAAACACAGAGACTTTACATTTGGTACACGCCTGAGACATACATCTGGAGATTTGTGACAGCTGCAGAGGAAAGACAGATTTCACTGAATGAACGAGACTTTATCTATTCCTTTCTGTCTGCCCCCGTGGGAAGATATGATGCAATGTGGTGTTAGACTATTTTAGGAAAGCCAAACTCTCAATGAAACTGTGAGAATCATAAAGCACTGATGAAATATCATTCTCAACTGAGCAATGCAGTAGCAGCAGCAGCAGCAAGAGCCTTCCTGTCACAGACCCATCACTAACACAGTTACTCAGAAAGTTTGTAAGATGTTTAATGTTTTCCAAAGAAGTCTCTTCTGCTCACCAAGGCTGCATTTGTTTGATCAGAAATACAGTAAAAATAGCTATAATGTGAAACAAATTGTACAATTTAAAAGAACTGTTTTCTATGTAAATATATTTTAAAATATAATTTATTCCTGTGATGCAAAGCTGAATTTTCAGCATCATCAGTGTCACATGATCCTACAGAAATCATTCTAATATGCTGATTTGCTGCTCAAGAAACATTTCTGATTATTAGCAATGTTGAAAACAGTTGTGCTGCCCAATATTTTTTGTGGAATTTTATTTTTTTTTATCAGGGGGAATATACATTTTTATTTGAAAGAGAAATCTTCTGTAACATTATAAATGTCTTTACTGCCCCTTTTGAATAATTTAATGCACCTTGCTGAATAAAATTAATTTCTTAGAAAAAATACTGAACCCAAACTTTTTTTCTCTTTATGTAAGATAAATACAATTGAATTGTTTAATAATCTAAAGTCATCAGAGAAAACATCTCTATACAGCACTGATGAGTTTATAAAAAAAAAATCTATTTTAAAATCATGTGCATAAAATACTATATTTTCCACAGCATGTTTATTCGTGGCCACAATTTACTAATTTGCTCTCTTGTTTTAGTAAATCGTTTTGATTGAACTAAAATGAGGGAACAAATTAGTAAGTCATGGCCACAAATTAAAAAGTTGTGCGAATGCGTTCTTAATTTGTGGCCAACATATACAACGATTTTATCTCAATGTATCAATGTGAGAGAAATATGCAGAAAATAGTTAAAAACTTGAAAGCAGAGTATTTAAAATGGAAATCAAAGCTCAGAAATTTCACAAAGAGTCATTAAAAGTGCTGAACTCACGGTCTCTGTAGAAGAGGAGACGGTCTGCTGAGAAGCTCCAGTCAGAGGAGCCCCATTCTGATTAATATAGGCTCAGGACTTCCTCTTCCACTGGAGAAAAACACCTCCATGAAACCAGAGCAAGTCAAGAGGATCCCAAGATCAGGTCAGTCTGACACACACACACACACACACACACACATCTGTGACCTCGCTTCTGATTCTTGATGACAGCAGCATATTTCAGACCACATGACAAACATGACAAGCATCTGACACACATTCAAACGATTAAAGTGCTTTTTTTACCAATAAAGCATAATAGTTATTGCTACAAAACTATGAAATATGTTCTCATTCAAAGATCTAAGTCACTTCCATATTTCCGTTTTATACGTAAAAAAAATAAAAAAATAAAATTGACATCAGATTATCAATTTCACCACTTCATTTTACTGGCTGAGGTACTACGAGTAGTATATTATTTCCAATTGGCTCTTATTTCATAAGGTTTACTTTTGAGGCCTAAAATACAACTCTTTATTGTGCAAAAATAACATCATAAAGTTCCCAAATACCATTTTAACTTACATAATTCTTAAAGGGGTCATAGGATGCCCATTTTCCACAAGTTGATATGATTCTTTGAGGTCTTAATGAAAAGTCTGTAACATAATCTGGTTAAAATTTCTCAATGGTAGTGTAAAAAACACCTTTTTTACCCGACTAATAAACTAATAGCAGCCTAGAATCAATGTTTCTATAATACAACAAATCAAACCTGTTCATATTAACTTAAATGCAGTCAAACACAACGTAAAAGTGTGATATAAAATGGAACACTTGAGATTACTTTGAGTGCAATTTAACTAGATTGAAAAGAAAATGGTAATGTCATAACTGGTAGCAGCTGTCAAACCTGAAATACTACAAATAAAGAAGTAATAAAAGACAAAGACAGCTACATCTGGGAGAATTTCAGTTGAATATATGAAATCATTCAGAACTGATCGCATCTGAGGCGTTAAACTAGTTTTCAGCAGGGTGTGTGAGACGCTGTTCTTAGAAAAGTATAAAAAATATACCTCATTATTTCAGAGTTAAGTTTCATGAAAATATCTTGACCTGCTGAATATCAGGAAGTGTCTTTGAGGGCATGCCAATAAAGCCGTGGTAGAAAATATGGGGAAATGAAACTTGTGTTTGGCCCAAATGACAAGTTAAGTTGCCGCGTCTTTCAATTTCAGTATAAATTCAGAAGAAGTTAGAAAAAAAACATCTGATTCCAAAGCAACCTAAAAACATAATTGTGAGAAATGACTTTGCTCAGAGTCCTGCGTCATGAAATAAGCTTGCAGAATTAAAGAAAAGTAGCGTTGGTAATTAAAAAAAAGTTCTAAAATGATGTTGCAGAAATGTGTAAATTCAAACTTTAAAAGCCCAGTTCCATCTAATCAGTGTTGTCAGCTAATTGTCAGGTAAAGTTGCTAAAGGCAGGTCGGTTGTTTTCTTGCTAAATGACGTTGTGACATCATCATCGGATGATGACGTCATTATTTAACCATGACACAAAACTGCGTCATTGCGTAGAATACACATTGCAATTTCTCAAATCTCAGCAAAGAATATCATTTAAAATATGTTCATTTAGATTTGTTTGTAAAAAATAATATAAACATTTAATATATATTATTTGTAAAAGTAATAGGCCTATAAACACATTTTTATTACATATTTTAATTGTTAAATACACTACCAGTCAAAGGTTTTTGAACAGTAGGATTTTTGATGTTTTTTAAAGAAGTCTCTCTTCTGCTCACTGAGCCTGCATTTATTTGATCCAAAGTACAGCAAAAACAGTACAATTTTGAAATATTTTTACTGTTTAAAATAACTTTTTTCTATTTTAATATTATTTTAAAATGTAGTCTATTCCTGTGATTTCAAAGCTGCATTTTTAGCATGACAGACAGACAGACAGATAGATGACAGACAGACAGACAGACAGATAGATGATAGACAGACAGACAGACAGACAGACAGACAGATAGATAGATAAT